CTAATAATATATATATATATATATATATATATATATATATTTTTTTTTTTTTAGAGGGAGAGATTTTACTTACTTATTTGTCAGAGAGAGAGAGAGCACAAGCAGACAGGGGGAGAAGCAGGCAGAGGGAGAAACCCAGGCTTCCCGTTGAGCAGGGAGCCTGATGCAGGCAGGACTCGATCCCAGGACCCTGGGATCATGACCTGAAGGGAAGGCAGATGCTTAACCGACTGAGCCACCCAGGCGTCCCTGATGCCTTGATAGTTTTCAGGGTTAATGGTGTAATAGGGTATTCTGGGCTTATCTTGAACATTTCCTATCCCAAACCTGGAGTCAGCATTGGCATCAAGGAATTCTTTTCAGGTACAAATGGTATTTAGAGGCCATAATATTGGTACACAGGTGTGGGCTTGTTGCTACTGCAATAGTCTGTTTCTTAGACTTTTATAATGGGCAGAATTAGGAAGTATGTATTTTTAAATATAAAATATGTAATGAGTTCTTCATACATCTAATTCAGGATCAGAGAGTTTTTATGTAACTCATTCATTTTATATGTTTCTTTTTTGTCACATAGCAAAAATTAAGTTTTAAAAATACCAACTTTGCTTTTTGCAAAACATCCATTTGCTTTTTCTCAGACTATGCATGCAACAATATTAAAATAACAGCACCAATTCAGGCCGCAAGAATATGGTTAGTGATAACAATTTAAGTTCCTGTTTTGTTGTTGCTGCTTTAAAGTTATTTTTCTTATTTTATATCCTATGAGAGATATACTGTTAAATTACTGTGTTTGTGTGTGGTTTTTAAAAATTATTAAATGGGGTCACCTGGGTGGCTCAGTCGTTGGGCATCTGCCTTTGGCTTGGGTCATGATCCCAGTGTGCTGGGATCGAGCCCCACATCAGGCTCCCTGCTCCGTGGGAAGCCTGCTTTTCCCTCTCCCACTCCCCCTGCTTGTGTTCCTGCTCTAGCTATCTCTCTCTGTCATATAAATAAATAAAATCTTTAAAAATAAATAAAATAAAATAAAAATTATTATATGTAAAGTGACTTGGAATAGTCTCTGTATGGAACTCCATATACAATTAAGTTTATTTCATTTAGCTTTCATTTTTTTTTTTTTTAAGATTTTATTTATTTATTTGACAGAGAGAGACACACAGTGAGAGAGGGAACACAAGCAGGGGGAGTGGGAGAGGGAGAAGCAGTCTTCCCGCAGAGCAGGGAGCCCGATGTGGGGCCCGATCCCAGGACTCTGGGATCATCACCTGAGCCGAAGGCAGATGCTTAACGACTGAGCCACCCAGGCGCCCCATTTAGCTTTCATTTTGATGGGAGTGTTTTAAAATTTAATTTGTTTTTGTTTTATAATTATGTAAATTATATGGTTCCAAAATCACATCTACAAAACCAGTTTTATGAGAAAACTTCCTACTATTCTATCTTTTCTACCTGTTCCCTTTCTCCTTATAGGTAACCATGTTTTTTAAGGTTTTGATTTTTCCTTTCATTTAAAAAATTAAATAAATATTTGGATGAATGGTAGCATACGATAGAAGTTTTTCTCCACCTTGCTTTTTTTTTTTTAATTTATTATATACTGTGGTTGTGAAATACTTCATACTATATACATTCCTCATTCATTTTTAAAAATTGCATAGTACTCCACTCTGTGTGTGTACCCTAATCAATTCAACCATTTCCCTATGATGAACATTTGGGTTATTTCCAAACTTTACCTATAATAAACAATGCTTTAGTGAATATCTTCTTATATATATATTTATATATCGATTTTATATTTTCGTCCGTGTAGGTCAGATTCCTGGAAATGGGTTTTGCTAGTCAAAAAAAAAAAATGCATATGTAACTTTGCTAGATACTGTCAGATTCTCTGTTGTTGAGGTTTTTTCCATTTTTCATTTCAACAAGCAATATTTGAGAGTGGTCCTTTTCTCATAAGTGCCTTACTAACAGGTTGTGTTGTTAAATTTTTGGATTTTTGCCAATTTGTTGGGTGAGAAATAGTATTTCAGTGATTCTTAATTTGCATTTCTCTTATGAGCAGGGTTGGGAGTATTTCTATTTAAGGGACATTTGCCTTTTTCTGTAAAATGTTCAGGCTGTTGGTCTTTTATTCATTTTTAGATACTCTTTATATATACGGTTATTGGATTGTCTCATATAAGTTACAATATTTTTTGAGTTTCTCATTTGTCATTGTACTTAGCTTGTGGTATTTATTTTCTTTTTTGTCATATAAAACCTTTTTTTTAAGTGCTATATAAAACCTTTTTAGTTTTATGTATTTGAATGTATTTTATGTATTGCCAGTATTTCACATTATTGCATCTAGTTTTGACCATTGCGAGTAATGTTTTCCCTACTCTCCAGTTATAGAGGAATTGACCCATAAGTTCTAGTACTTGTGTGGTTCAAATTTTTACATTTAAGTATCTGTTTTTAAAATTTATCCTTAGAATAGATCCAAATTCATCTCTTATGACTACCCAGATCCCAACACCACTTATTAAAAAGTCAATTTTTTCCTCACTGCTTTGAGATACAGCTTTTATCTATGTTAAATTTTCATATGCATTTGGGTAAATTTCTCAATATTCTATTGTGTTTCATTGATCTTTTTCTCAGGTGCCAATGCCAGCTGTAAATTATAAAGGCTACATATATAGTGTATTTTAATATCTGATATGAGATTGCCCCACACACTTTCAGTGCTCTTCTTTTTCAGGGCTTTTCTTGTTTTTTTTTTCTTTTTATTCCAAAAGAATTTTATAATCAATTTTATGCTTATAACACTGTTCTTAATCAGGAGTCTTTATCTGAAGCACTGTCAGAGTTTTTTTTTTTTTAAAGGAGAAGAAATACTTGCTTTCCACCCCAGACCTACTGAATCTCTGGATATTGGCCCTGGGTATGTATATTTAAAAAAAAAAACTTTCTGGTAGATTCTGATAATCCCATTAAAAATGGCCTTATAAAGTATAAATTTAAGTTCTAATTCATGACTATTTTATGATTTGTATTCTCTTATATATTCTGGATCTTACTTAATGACTCCAGCACTTATCCAGTTTTTTAAGCCAGAAATTCCTGTAGTCTTCTTTCAGCCCCTTCCTCTCCCTTAAGTCCCTGTTTTCAGTTGGTCACCAAATCCACATTTTACCTCAAAAACATCTGGCTTTAAATCTCCAGTGCCACTGTCCTTCACTATCTTTCTCATGAACTGTTTAGCACTTTGGTCATACTACAGTCTATCATTTGCACTGCCTACATAGTTGTTGCTCCCTAAAAACAAGGTTGATCATGTCACTCCTTTGCTGACTTTTGTTGGCGCTCAGGATAAATTCAGTCACCTTACCATGGTATCTTAGGCCTTTCACTCTCAGGTCCTACCCTCCTTTTCCTTCTTCATCCCTGGTATTCCATACCTCACAATGAATACTCCTGTTTCGGTGAACTTCTCATTAGTGGATGGACACCAGGCTTAGTAGCTCTTTTTATTTAAACTTACAGCTTCTTTTACTTAGGATCTGCCCCTCCGAAGCATTGCCTGGTAGGCTGTCGGTATTTGAGATGCAGTTCAAATGACATCCTTTTGATAAAGCTTTTTTTTAGACTCAAAGTCAGAATTATTTGCCCCGTCCTCTTTATTCTAGCAAAACTTTATGATTTGTATCTTTATAATGTGATTTATGTGAGTCTTTAATCTCTCAGGAATTTCACACTTTCAACATCCACCAGAATGTGAGCTTTTCATGTTTTCCCAGTCTCTAGCAGAGTGCATAGCATATAGTGAGCACTCAAATGTTTGTTCAATGAATGAAAACAAATAACTCTTCATTAGTTTGTACTGATTGAAACTGAAACAAGACATGACAGTGGCCAGCTTGTTCTATTGAGATCTCTCATATTGGCTTTTTGTATCAGCCTTCCTAGACTTTGTTCTCTGTACATACATGTCAATTCCTTATCCTTTGAAGATCCATGTATAATACCTATAGTAATAAATTAGATACCTAACCATCTTTATCTCTATATCTCCCTATTTGAAAAGTTCTATCTTGGTCTTAAAAATAGATGCTGCTTTACAGAAGAAGTGCAACAATTTACATATAGTGATGGCATAATTAGCATGGGATAGGTATATATCTTATATAGAATTTCAGAAATAATTATCAGTAATATTAGAAAAGATGTTTGTTAAATTCTTTTGCAATTCTGAAGATGAAGTACTAATTTAGATGATTATTCTAGGTAGAGAACTAAGTGCTACCATAGTCAAATTATTTTATAATTGTAGTAATTATTCCCCCACCCTCCAACTCTATGACTGTGTTGTAATCTTTGAAACAATCAAATGTGATAACATAAAGAAGGGAAGGAATCATATTAAAAAAATAATTTAAGCACAATTTCATAGAGGGTAGCAAATACTAGAATAATCCAGTTTTAAATTTCTAGTATACTTTTTTTAAAAAATCAGTTTTAAAGGTATAAATTGGATAATTAATATATTTGAACTACCAAATAGCACCAAATTATTTTAAATATATATTTAAATACACAAATTAAAGCTTTTTTATTGAAATGTAGAAATTCATCTTATGAATATTAGCTAATCTGAGTTTTTCATTTATCAACTATTTTGTTAATTATTGATTTCCATTTAACTGCATTTCAGCCTTAAGAGTGTTACAAAAATATTTTTCAAATTATTGGAATAATGTATAGTTTTGATAATAAGTATAGTTTTTAAATATTTTAAAGACAGTAAAATCAAGTTCTTTATTATCATGACTTTTATCCTTTATTCCAACATTGACAACACTGAGTCTTATTTTGTACAAGTTACTTTATCATTCACCCAAGGAAAAGACAACTTTGTGTTATATATGGCTGCAACTTGAAATTATATATACATACTCTTAAAAACATTTTTTGGATTATGATTTTAAAATCAACCAGAAGAATGATAGGAATTTTTAATATGAGTTTTTATTTTTATATAAGTTTTTATATAAGTTAAACACTTTTATTACCAATGTACCCAGTGTTTTCTGTTGATTAGGTATATATTCAAAATTTAATAAGTGAATTTTATTATGTCAAATGTTTTTCCCACAGGTTTCTTCTCTAAAAACAGGCAATATAAATTACATATCTTTATGAAACCTAGTGTTCGAATAAACAAAGTACCATCTTCAACTCAATATCATTTCAAAGTATTACTGGAACCTAAAATTGAAACTTATTTTGCTGTATTTGAAGTATTTAAGTATCCTTAGTTTTCCAAATTACTCAAGTGTGCATTTAACTTTATTTCAAGAGAGAATTCCGTATAAAAATTGAGGCAACTTGAATCTAGCCCTTTTTAAAAAAATCTTTTCAAAATTGAATGCTTTCTTAAAAGTAATGCTAGTGATTAAATTGTCAGAAATGGATTGTTGAAATATTAATAATTCTTTATCTATAGAAATATCAGTGAGTTGCCTTGTTTATTTCCAAATGTTTTAAAATACTGTTTGAGTAATGACCGCTATTATTTAAAACTCATGAACTTTTTTTGTTAATTATTTTGGCTGGAATATCTAAATGCTAGCATTCACACTTATATTTTAATCTATATTTTTCTTCTGGAACATTATTGGTGAATTTTGAGATTGCAGAACTCTTGACCCAGTCATACATGTACAGAGCTTGGCCTCTGAGTTAATTAAATATGAGTTAATAATATATTATAAGGAAATTATTGTCCTTATTACAGTTATTAGGTAGTTACTCAAATTATAGCTTCAAAGGAATGCAGAGCATGGAAAACTCAGGATTAAATTATGCATTTGAACCTTAGGCCAGCTTTTACTGTAAAGACAGTTTTCTGCTAGGAGAGAAATTGTATGTCATTGAAATTAAATGCTTTTCTGGGGATGGAAGGTTCCAGTTTTTAATGAAATTACTGAGTGTGGTGTAGTGAAATGATTAAAATCTGTATTCCGGGAATGTGGCAAGGAAAAAAAATCAATAAGTGCTAGCGCAGCTTTGCTGCTCAATGTGAATCCTGAGAACGAAATAAACTACTACAAAAATAATAATTAAAAACATATCAGCACATTAATTTATTTAGCATCAGTCTCCTGAGACATCATCTTCACTAATTTTTAGCATACATTTTACTGTGTAATGAGCAGCCTTTTTTTCAGATATCCCTATTAGGCAGGCAGTATTTCTGCCCTTCCCCCAGTGCTCCTGCATTGCAATCATTGTACTTGCACTTATTATGTTACAAATGACCGAGGTAAGGCTGACATTCTCAGTGCATGCAAAAAGACCTAGTCTGCCAAGCTTTTTTTCCCCCCCTAATGAAGCAGCTTTGTGAAATCTCCCCATGTGTTAATACTAATGAAGATCCTCCAGCACAATTAAAATCACAGCCAGTGGCTGAAGAGGAAACATAAAACAATAGCATCTTTTAAGATACATTTATCCACAAATGTATGTACAAAATATACATATATAGTCAAGTTATTCTTCTGTGGCTTGCCTTTCACTTGCTCTTCATCCTGAAAATTAAATCATGCAATTTTTAATTATATAAACTTGGAGACTTTAATGTGTTCTGGGGGAAAAACACTACCTCAATAAAAAAGATTAAATTATATATATTCTTGTGTAATAAAGCGTTAACCAAAGTTATGGCTTTTTAAAAATCATTTTTAGGAAGCTATGGGGTAGTGTACCCAGGAGGGAATAGGGTGTATTTCACCTTTATTTTAACTTCATTGGTTTCAGGATGTTGGGATTGGGGGGTGAGGGAGAAATGTAAGGGTAAACAACAAAAAGTTGTGAGATTCTGGGGGTAGACAAAAAGCATACCTCCTGTGTAGTTTAAAGATGGATCAATGAGCTACCAGTTTTAACTTGATTTTTAAAAAAAGTGTTCAATTCCTACAGTTAGGTACCCCCCCCCTTTGACTTCAGAAATTGGAGGGAAAACTACAATTGAGATTACCTTTTACAGTTTTAACTTCTAACTTTAAAACGTTTTGCTGTTTTAACGTGTTATATTTAAATTTTAATTCCGTGCATCAACACTACTGCTAATTTAATTTGCCCGTGTTTGGGCAGCAGCGTTTTATCCCGGGACCATCCTGCGTCCTGCTTTTTATTTTGAGTTCTAAACATCCACGAATTCCTGGCATATTAATTTAGTTGGTTTACAGACTTCAACCGAATTCTGAGTTTACAGACAAAAAAGTTTAGGTGGAGATGGTTAATCTATGCTCCTTATTGTCCAGTTATCGTTTTTTAAATTAGGTTTCCAATCCTATTTTCTAGAGTCCTACTTTGGAAAGAAAAAAATATTAAGTTTCTTAACTTTTTCCTGGGACAAGGATCGGTTGCAAACTCAAAGCTACAGTATTCTTGGGAGGAAGAAGCAACCCCCCTCCCTCCCTTGGCTCCTTTAGGAGCTGATAGGTCATTTATTATTGGAACTGAAATGGTATAAACAATTCTCTCTCTTTTTTCCCTTGTTAACAGCAACTTTCATTGTTAGAGAGAGGAGAGAGAGAGAAGCCTTGTTGGTTGACGTCACTTGGTTCATGAAGCCTTCGCCTAGAAGTGAAGCTGCTGAACAAACCTTGAGAAGAATCATCTCCTGCTTCAATCTGCTGCTGGATAGGAACTAATCAGAGAGAGGCGGAAGGCGGAGAAGGAGGGAGTCAAGGGCTTTCCCGATCACAAATCTCACCTCCACTCCAACTCTCTTTATACTTTCCTTGCAAAAATAATAATCGCGATAAGGAGGTGGTAGGGTTTCCAAAAACAAAAGTCGTAACCTTCAACCATCTGGGGAAGGCAAAAATCTCATCCACCGCAACTCTCAGTTTGAAAGTAAAGGTGAGTTCAAAATCTTCGGGTGTGAGGGGTGCGGGTGAAGATGAAAATTCCAAATGTTACAAAGCCGGTTGTGAGCTGAACAGGAGAAACTACGCTCTTGCGAGCGGGGACTCCGGAGTGGCTTCTCTCGAGGCGCTCGCCCTGCCCGCCCTGCTCGCCCTCCGCGGCTGTTTACCCTCGCCGGTCGGTGTGTCTCTTTGTTGTGCTGGCTGGAAGGCTGGGGCGGTGCTCGGGGTCCCGAGCGGAGTTTGGGGGAGGAGGACGCGGTCCTGGGGGGGAGGTGGGGGGTGCGGTCTCCGGAGAATGTAAACTTTATTCCTAGCTGCCAGTGCGGGACTTCGGTGCAGCAGGGCCGCGGGCAGACGCAGCCGCCGCCAGTCCGCCTCCTTTGTGCCGGTCGCCCTGCTCGGCCGCCCGGGCTGCGCGCCTCCTCCTCCCTTCGGCTCCCAGCGCTCGGGTTGCCACCAACAGTTTTGCTTCTTAAAGGATAACCTCTGGCGCTGTTGCGATCGCCGTTCCTACCCCGGAGTATACGCTGCTCCCTCAATCCCTGCCGGGGTAGTTTCAAGATACCCCCCACCCCCCCCCAGTCCGCCTACTGCTGCCCTTTTTTGCCTCCGCCCCCTCTTCCCTTTAGGACTGCTGATCTGCTCCTGGGCACCCCCCCCCCCCCCCGCATGGGCCTCTTTTGCTTTCTCTGTGTAGCTTGGAGCTCCAGAGTTTACAGAAAATGGGCTGGGGTGGGGGGTGTTGTAATGGGGGCAGGTGGGACCGGGAAAAGAGCTGGATACTTGGGAAGATCTATGCTTGTACACAGGGTTAGAGGAGCACAGCTCTTCCTGCAGTAATGTCTGTCTCCTAGCAGTTCTTCCCCGGGAACAACCGCCAGCCCTCAACTCTTCTTCGCTCTTTTAATCTTCTTGTCGCTCCCCTCCCCCCTTTCTCTTTCGCGGCTTTCCTCCTGTTAAAGTAGTTCCATGAACCCCAGAACTGGGACTTGGGAAAGGAAGGAAGTGTTGGGAGAGTAAGAGCTGGCTCTGTTGTTTGGGCGATTTTCTCTTTTCTCTCCCTCTGTATTTATCTTTTGTGTGTTGCTTCCTTATAAAGAGAGAAGCAGCTGCAGTCCTTGGCCGAGTTGTTGAAATTTATCCCTTTGTGTATATTACAATATCCTCCATTTTTTTTTCCTGCCCTCTAAACAACAAGCGTTTCGCCATCTTGGGCAATTTTTATTCCCAAGTCTCCCTTTTTTTATTTTTGAGAAAGGGAAAGAAGCCCTAGAAAGGCAAAAAGTGTGTCTGGATAAGACTCAAAGTTTAGGGAATGTTCAGGGGGCCCAGTGACGTCATGTAAACTTTATCGAGAAATTTTCCCAAGAGAACATTTTTCACCTCATTTTTTCCCGGTTTTGAAGGACCGTGTAACTTACTGGTTAAAGATAAGTTGTGTTGCTTATTTTGGGGTCTTGCACTCAAAATGAACCCTCAGCGTCTACACATTTTACGTTTTGGTAACAGGTGGAAAATTATGTGCAAAAAGATGGTATAAACTTTTACAGTGTCATTGGTATTCACCTAGCTTTTTGTCTACGTGTTGTTTTTTTTTAAAGGTTTCAAATGTTATTTTTAATCAGTATATTCCTTTCTCATTTACTCCACTCTGCTGTGGATTTTTCTTTAATCGGCTTGGTTAATATTTTACGTATAATCATTTTAGATTACCTAGATCCCCTTTTGTAATTAAATGATCTATTTTTTTTTACATATTTCCTTACATTTTGGAAAGATAAAACTATTAAAATACCTGGAGATACTGGATACTTTTAAAATTTAGTAGCAGATATTAAACGATTGGCAAAAATGTATTTAAAAGCAAAATTTATTTTAAAATATATTTTATAACTTCAAGCTGTAAGCTCTTTGTCAGCCATTATGAAAAAATAAACAATAAAAATTAGTGTTGTTTTAATTTGCTTGTCTAAAATAGTTTTTTATCTCACAGAAGTTCGGTTGGTCACATGACCAAACTTAATGATACACTGACTGGTATATAAATAAGAGGTACTGTAAATTGAATGGGAAAGTGGAATTCTGTCTCCTGTAGTCATTTTCAGTCAGCATATTTACTTCTAACAAGGACATGAAACTGTCTGTATTTAATTTGCATTCTCTTTGTCTTCTGGGTTGGGGAAAAACACTGACTACAATTAACTAAAAAAAACACAAAAACTAATAGAAACAATTCTGAATACACTGAAAAGGTTTGTCTAACAAAAATTTACATTGTATGTAGTAGTATGTTTTTATCTCTGTAGCAGTCTTCTTTGGTATTATTTGCTGTGTTATTTATCTTGGAATTTTCTTTATGTAAAACGCTATATAGAAAGCTTGACTGAATTGAATGTCTGCCATTTATGTGAATTGTAGGTAGGTGAAAAATGTTTAAATAGTTAAGAGCACATAGAACAGATGGTTTTAAATTATACATGCAACAAAGGACTAGAAGATTTGGCAGATTATAAATGGCAAGCAACAGAGGATAAGCAGTTTAAGAAAATGGTAGTTAAGTACATTGGATGTCTCACACCTATTGTAAACGCTGTACATATTGTCACGATGCTGCATAATCAATAATTTAGACAACATTGAGGCACTTGTAAGTTTCAGATAGAAAAAAGTCAAATTTTACAAATGTTTGAAATGAATGGCTGAATGTAAAATTATTTTAAGCCTGTGATGACAAATAAGAGTCTTATAGGGGAGGTGATCAAATTGTATGCTGTAAAAAGAAAGTTATTTATCAGGACTTAATATTGTATTCATATAATGGTTAGGAGAAAAGTAGGAGTAGGCAGATATTTTAAAATCCAGAGAATAGTATCTTTACTGTCCCTATATGTTAAATTATTGCTGAACTATAGTAGCATTTACTCTTTCAAACACTACTTAAAATATTTTTAGAGTATTCAGTCTTGGAAATGCATTTATTAGAATTCTGTTGGCATAATTTACTAAGTACTTATTAAATGAAGGAAGGATGTATTTCAGTATTATTTTTTGAGTTTTGTACGTTATGATAATTTTTCCTGGTGAATATAGTTTGCTCTCAATTTTTAAAATGTAAAGATTTTTATGTAGCTTTTGCCTTTCTAGAAGAATCTGAGTAATTATATTTATCATTTTTCAAGATTTAAAATAACAAAGTATTCAAGTTAGCAGAAATTTGTTTTTATTTTTATGTCATTTATTTAAAATGCGTTTAAGTCTGTAATGGAAACCTTGGAATTTTAATTCTGTTGCCCTTTCTCTCATTTCTTTGTTTGCATGTTTATTATAGAACTGCAGTGTAAAGGAGCAGATGTTTTGCCAAACATCCTGATGTGTTGCTTTTTCTTATGGGAGTGCATAACTGTTCCTTCTGATGCATCAACTTGACAGCTGGTTGATTTCATGGAGCTGCTAAGAAGCCATTAGTGGTGTCATTGAATTGAAACAGAACAGTCACTCCCAGCTTGAACTGCAATTGTTAATGTCTTTGTTGCTACTTTTGTGTTACTATACAAGATGTAGGATATCACAGTTGCAGGAAAGTTCCTGTTTTCTGTCTTATCTCTTTGAATTAGTGAAAAAATGTGTTAAACTTGATTACTTTTAGGTTTAAAGATTTCTCAAAAGAAAAGATTTTAAATTGTAGTTTCTGAGTTTCTGACCTAGTCTTAGCTAGGACTACCAAAAGAAGTGATTTAACACAAAGTAATGTGTGATTTTGACCCCTAGTTGAAATAGTATCTTAATGATTTTTAATATACTTGATATCCTGGGGATTAATTAAATTACCTAGTTACGTATTTTAAAAAGTTTTTGATTATATAAAATTAAGTATTTCATACCATAAGGTTTTAAAAAATTGTGCTTTATTTAATAAATGTTGACTTGTTTGATTAAATATTTCTTTAAACTTTTGTTGCAGAAAGTAATCAGAAGAGAAAAGAATTATTGAGGAAATGGGCAATTTTATATTTAATTTTCTCTCTAAAGAGGTGAAGATAGTAAATAATTGACTAGTGGTCATTTAATGATTTTAAAAATTGAAATGGTATTTTTATTATACTTAGTAACTTCTAGTGATAGTTTTCAGCTATCAAACTATGGAACTAAAAGGTGTCAAATCATCCCATTGATACTTAAGTGTTTTCTACTTATTTTATTTATTTATTTATTTATTTGATAGGAAAGGAGATAGGAAAGAGGAGGAATAAGGAATGACCATTCCAACAGAGAAAACATATTTTTTTAAAAATGTGTAAAAAAACCTTTAGGATAATAAGTTTAAGGGTATATGATGTAGTTTACCACTATGTCAGGAGATCTTTTCTAGTTTTAGTATTTACTCATTTTTAATTCTTTAAGTATTCTTTAAGAATTCTTTTAAGAATTCTTTAATTCTTTAAATCTTTAAGTACCATAAGCATTTAAATAATTTTTCAAAGAGCATAAAATTTATAACATTTAAAATAGTTTGCCTTTAATAAATACTTAAAGTGTGAAATTGGTGATTAGAATATATGATTTGCTGAGTTAAATGCCATTAAAAGGACTTCCTATACAATATAAACAAATTGTAAACACTTCTAATACACTGCTAAGTGATTCCAGAATTATGATTTCCTGCAATTATAAGTTTATAGAGATGTTTTCCTTTTAAATAGACCATGCATTACTAAGACTTCCTTCAGGTAATATACTTTCTCAACTCTTTTTATATAATAGCCATACAGTTCCTTAAAAAGAAAATCATTCTGTTACCTTAGCCTATGATTCAATTTTTAAGAAATATATTTACTCATAACATTTATGTCAAGGCAGATA